AATCCAGTTTCACCAACCAAATGCCCACACCATTAGGACAACATTAGGTATCTCTTAAATTAAAAAAATAACTCCCCTTACAATCAAGGCTGTTGATTAAAGGGGAAAGAGGCCCGTGCTAAGATACCTGGAGAGTGACATTCACATTTGGTGCAATAGTGTTGTTAAACAAGTCATCCATGTTCTGGTATGAAGTTGGAGGCTGGGTCACATCTGAAGCAGGTGTGGGCACCAGCACCTGATTTTGTTGTTGTTGTATAAGCCGTTTTCTCATATCCTGCTGTCTCATAAGTGTTGTTCGCTGTAATGAGAGAGAGAAGGTCAGTTTTACATTCTGTGAAAATTTGGGAAAAACTACCTATCATTTAGTTTGCAATGAATAACAATGTCCTCAATAACTTACCTGGTTGCTCATATTAGGTCGAGGACTCCCAGGAGAAAACTGTTGATTACTTGATCTAATCATACTCCCTACTACATTAGTCCCTCCACCAGGCGCACCAGTAGGACCTGCATTTGGAAACCGCGTCCGCTGGGTGTATGGAGGTGGGTAGTTACCAATGGAAGAGGCAGACTGGAAAAGGGAGGAAAATGTTAGTTATTAAAAAGGGTAAACTGATAACAAGCTTTAACACAGTCAGCTATTTTCCCTTGTTCAAAATTAATGCGAATATCATTTACAGTCTTTAATTCGAGAGCAAAGAAATATACTAAAAGAGTGGTGTAAGTAACTGAATTAACAAGTTATTGAATTATAAATAAAAAAGTTCATAAATAAATAAGTAAATTAATAAATAAATGGATAAGGATGTGGAAGTGGTTATGTATACATACGTATATGTACATATGAGAGAGAGAGAGAGAGAGAGAGAGAGAGAGAGAGAGAGAGAGAGAGAGAGAGAGAGAGAGAGTGAGAGTGAGAGTGAGAGTGAGAGTGAGAGTGAGAGTGAGAGTGAGAGTGAGAGTGAGAGTGAGAGTGAGTGTGAGTGTGAGTGTGAGTGTGAGTGTGAGTGTGAGTGTGAGTGTGAGTGTGAGTGTGAGTGTGAGTGTGAGTGTGTGTGTGCGTGTGTGTGTGTGTGAAGAGAGAAGAGAAGAGAAGAGAAGAGAAGAGAAGAGAAGAGAAGAGAAGAGAAGAGAGAGGGGAGAGCAGAGGAAAGGAGAGCAGAGGAAAGGAGAGCAGAGGAGAAGAGAGCAGAGGAGAAGAGAGCACAGCAGAGCAAAGAGGAGAGCAGAGGAGAGAAGAGAAGAGAGGAGAAGAGAGAAGAGAAGGGAGGGGAGGAGAGGAAAAGAAAAGCAAGGAGAGGAGAGGAGAAGAGAGGAAAAAGGAGAAGAGAGGAGAAAAGAGAAGAGAGAAGAAAGAAGAGATACTGATGGTTATATATAACCATTATAGAATGATTATACATACATAAACATTGATTGATCAACAGATGAAATAAAAGTCAACGAGAAAATAACAATAAACAAATAACATTAACATACAGCAACAGCAGTATAAGGCGGCAAGGAACCCGGACCAGTTACTGCTGGAGCAGCTTGCGTATCGAAGTCTGAGATGAGGCTCTCCTTGATCTTTTGAATCTCCATTAAATTGTAAGAGGAGGATGTAGGAGGACGGTGCACTTCATCTGAGCTTATTGAAGGGGGCTGTCCAACTTCATCTGTTGAACCACTTGCAGGAAATATGTTTGTCATCTGCAAAGATTTACACAGACTTGAGCATCTGGGGCAAATGGTGGAGAACCTAATTATTTCTTACACTCACTAATAACTGAGTATATCAAGCAATGGATTAAATTATACAACTTACTTCCATGATATCATTAAGAATACTTTCAGGAAGAAAGTCATCAGCATTGTTTGGAGTTGATAGAAACTGAGCAGCAGTCGTTATGGGTGGTAGACCTCCTTCAGAATAACTACTGCTCACATCCCCAATAGGATTACGAGGCATGGCATCTATAAAAGATGGCAGGGCAGTGGTCGTCTTGGTAGAAACAGACGAGGCTGCCACTGAGACATTGCTATTACCACCCATGTCCCACATACCACCATGGGAGGTTGGAACTGATACAGAACTATTCATGGGAACATTATTCATCCCCAACCTTCCGTGAGCATTTGTGGAGTGTTGGGAAGTCATGTTGCTCTGTGGTACTGAATTTCCAGATGTTGGCGTGCCAAGAGGGTGTTGTTGGTTCAATGACACATTAGAAGCTGGAAAAAAAGGAAGTCAAGTGTCAGAAAAATAATGTACATTCTAAAAAAAATTGAAGTAAAATTTCTACCATATACAGATACCACAAACAAAATATAGTTCCTTAAAAAATGCAATAGAAATTGTTTCCCTTTTTTGACAGGCCAGGCAATTTGGCTAACCTAAATTCAACAATGTAATATATGTGTCAAAAAGAAGATTCAGGCAACACAACCATCTGAACTGAGGAAATTTACTGGTTACTATAGATAATAAATACTTTCTGAAACTGATAGGGCTGGCAACACTTTGGCAATCTTTTTAATCAAATAAGTAGTCATTGTTTCTAATACTTTTAAGGAGTTGTTTTCGTACATTTGGTGGCAACGGAATGCAAATCTTGGAAATGTGGGGGGTTGTCATCTCACCGGCATTTTAGTTCGTGGCATGTACTTTTTTGTGATGGCACTGTATTTTCACAATCACAATGCATAACAAAAAGAATGAATGAAAGCCTAAGACTACTACAAAATAACTTTTAAAATATATTGTTATAAAATAATAATAAAATAATAATAATAATAATAATATCCTCAACCATCACATCCTCCTCATCATCATCACTGTCGCAAAGAAGTTTAGTATGGCTCTCAATATGCTAATGATACATCATAAAACATTTCATAAATACCAAAAAGATGAAGTGTTTTGCTTATTCTATATGTACATTCTCTCTTTATGATGATGAGTAAGACAAAGGGAAATCATGGATTTTGGGAAAGAAATCAGCTCCATACAACCATGTCAAATCTTTAGAAGACTGTATCTCCAATATTTAATTTTGCCTTCACTGAATTCACAAAAAATAAAATATCATTATGATTTACTTGTGCCTATCAGGGTATACTAGTTCATATATAAGTGAGGGACAAATGAAGATACATTTTTTTTTTATATAAAATGAAGGAGTTACAACTAAGAGTAACAAAAGCAATGAAAGATATTATTAGGCTATTCACAGACCAAAAATATAATTTTTTCTTCATTATTAAGGTTGCTTTACAAGATGAAGTGACACGCTACAAAATGATGTTATGATGTCTCGACACCATTATTCCTATTCATATAAAATGTTGGGAACATAAGGGTCTATCTATCTGAAATGTTTCAAATCTTCATTTCTAATAGTTTTGGTTCTTGCTGTAAATGTCTCCAGCCCCCTTAAATGATTTAATAATGAATAACAGATATGGAAATCAAAGAGTAGTAATGTTTTAAAAAAGCTTACACTTCATGTTTGTATGTTGTACAGGCCCATTGACAAATATCTGAGTCAGGATCTGTGACTGGCTGGGACCCGAAGACATCCATGTAGGAGACGGATGTGCCTTGTCTTTTAAGATCTTTGGAAGCTTTTCTTGAGGCAGGCTTTCT